TTTCGACAGATCATAATGCTGCTGATATGAGCACCAAGACATTGCCCAGTTGCAAGTTTTTTCCACTGTATGCAGTTAATAAATCTGCATGAAGAAAACTAGTTTCTTGATGTTATAGAGTTAGATCCAAGGTGGAGATTTGTGAGACATTGGATCGAACTCTAGTGTGGTCGAAGTCTGTTCGCATGTAATGTGTGTTGTAGTCGAAGTTTGTTCTAACATGCATGAGTAAATATTGCTAAGGTTGTTAGCATGAGTAAATATTGCTAAGGTTGTTAGCATGAGTAAATATTGCTAGGGTTGTTAGCATGTTGAATTGGGTCTTGCTTGTAAGCCCAATTGTTTAAGTTAGCTTGTACCCTAAGTTAGCTTGTAATGGATAATTGTTAAAAAGTCCATTAGTTTAGTGTGCTATTTTTTTCTTATAAATAGGATGCTAGTTTCTCAATCTTAGCATAAGGAAAAATAGGAAGATAAAATCCTAATTTCAAGGGAGAGAGGTTATTTTGTTATTCTTGTAGACTTGTAATCTTGTTCTAAGAGAAAGGAAAGAATAGCAGTTTAATAACCAATCCTTGTTGTTCCTTGTTGTTTTATCTTGTTTTCTTTGTTAACCCTAACCCTTGTGAGTTTCTTGATCGTTAAGAAACCGTTTATACTTTGTTTGAAGGTATCTGATTCACAACAGTTCAAGATAAAATTCCAATATTCAAACTTGTTTTTCAAACTTTTTAATTCATTTTCAAACATCATCATTTCTAACCAATTTTTCTAACTACATCATTGTTTTTTATAGAATTGTGCAAGAATTTCAAACTTCATCATCACATTATCACAAATTTCTTCATTCAAACTTCTTGGACAAATTTTTTAACTTACATCATAAGGTTACATCATTCTATCTTTATGCCCAAAATATAATTTTTCTATAAATAGGATACATGTTTCACTTCATTGGGGAGACAAAATAATACTCTTAAGTTGTTTTCTTCACATATCTCTCTCCTTCATAACTCTTATTTTTTATTTTGCAAAATTCATGTTCATATTCTTTTTCACTACAACACATATAATATATTTCATACCACAAACTCACATATATACTACAAATTTACGAAAGGGAGGGAGTTCGTAAAACACAAGTGTGAGAATTGGAAAATACTCAGGTTCTCTCTTTTCTTAATTTACCTTTTATTTAATTTTTTATTTTTATTTAATTTTATATTGTTATGTATATTATTATTGTTATTATGAGAAATTAGGTTTTGTTTAGTGGATTTAATTTAGTATGCCGATATATCTTTACTAATCTCACTTTTTATTTTCACAATACTAGCATGATCCATTTAATTTATACTTTTTATTTCAATTTTAGTTTTTTATGATTTGTTTAATTTAATTAAGTTAAACTTGTTTAATTACTAAAATGATTAAAATATTCTAATTATGTTTAAGATGTTAATTTCTTTTAAAATAAGTCTGTTGATTATTAATATCATAATTAATTAACTTCATAAATATGTTAATTTATTTATTGAAATTTATCTTAAACATTTTTATTTGTATGATTTCAACTTGTTATTTTGTTGAATTTTAATCTTTGTGATGCCATGCTTATTGATTAATCTTGATGTTTTTCCTCGATTAAATGCTTTTAACACGATGTTCTTCCGTGTATGTTTTCATTACATGATTTTTTTTTTCATGTATGATTCTTTGGTCACACGATGTTCTTTCGTGTATGCTTTCAATTGCCATGATATTTTTTTCCATGTATGATTCTCGGATTTCACGATGTTTTTTCGTGTATGCTTTTTATCACACAATGTTCTTCAGTGTATGTTTTCAATTACCACGATGTTTTTCCATGAATGTTTATTTATGATACGATGTTCTTCCGTGTATATTTTCACTTACATGATATTTTTTCATGTATGTATATCTCTGATTTCACGATGTTTTACCGTGTATATTTTATTTATTCCGTGATGTTTTGCATGTTCCTTTAAGATCTCTTAGTTCAACTTAATTTTTTATTAAGTTTGAAGTAAGGTAGACATTAGGATGTTCATCCAAGCATGATAACATTAAGGTAGAATTTCTCTTCAAAACTCAAACTTATGTCCATCTTTTCTTGACAACATTAGGTTAGATTTTTCCTCTTATCAAATATTTTCTCTCACTATCGTGCGATCAAAACTTTCCTTTCTGTAGTTCGCGCCCCTTAGGGGTAAACTACAACCGCTATGATTTCTCAAGATCCCATTGAGAGTACGTAGACATAAGATTGTAAAATTTTAGCGAGCAACCTTTTCTTTTTTTCATCTCTCCTTACATCTGACGTTTTCCTGAATATTCATCTCTTCACCTTCTCTTCCTATCCTACATTTTCCCGAATATTCATATTTCCAGTCACCTCTTGGGCTTCATACAAGCATCATATCCATAACTTCCTCCTGGTTTTCATACAAGGACCCTCAGACTTCTTAAAAGCATCACAAATAATAGAATCCTCCCTTTACAACCTTTAATCTTTTCACTTTTTCAATCAATCCTCACAAGCTTTACTTTCAAACTTTTTCTCCTTCTTTGTCTTGATTCTTAAAAACCCAACAACTTGTAGCCCCCGAGCTACAAATTTCCTTCAACCTTTTTCCGTATTTTCAAACTACGAGCGTTCTGATTTCTCTTTTGAGAATACGTAGACACAAGGTCTCAACCCTTGGTGAGTACTCTTTTTTCTTTTTCATCCTCTTTTCCATTTTTTTTCATATATTTTACAAAAATAACAAAAACATTTCTCACTCTCTTCATCTCTTAAAAGCAATAAACTTCCCCAAATAATAGCAAATAATTCAACTAATAAGCACATATATATACAAGAGGTTCTCGTAGAGTACTACAGATGCTTAGGGTGTTAATATCTTCCCTTAGTATAATCAATCTCCGATTCCAGTTCTCTTTATTTGCATTTTGTTTTTTTTTAACATTTGCCTTCTTGTAGGGTTTATTTAGATTTTTTTCGCCTTTCTTTAAAGCTTCATAGGATAAATATAAAAGTTCACATGTTGCACCAACGACGGTTCATGAAAATCGCACTACACTTATCAAACAATTTATATCAGATTTGTGCTGGATGAGATAGAGGTCGAAGTAAAGAAACATATGGTGTTGCAGATCGACACAAAGTGAGTCATAAATCTTGCAAAGAATTCAGTTCAGCATGGAGAAAGTAAACACATTGAGGTTAGATTTCACTTCTTGAGAGAGAAGTTAAATCAAAGTGAATTTGAAGTAAGACATTGCTCGAGTGAAGTAAGGTCGGTTGACATTTTTACTAAAGAATTGAAAATCGACAAATTTTTAACTTTGAAAAAAAATTAAAAATAGTTCAAATCAATAATGATTAACTTGTATTTATCAGCTTGAATTATAAATAGATATGTTGTGATATAATCCAAATTAATTAGTTAGATAATTTGTTATAATTACTTAGTTACAAATAACCAACTTGTATAGGTCCCCAAAAACTTGTATAATTACTTACAATTCTGTTCTCAGGTCCTAGTTTAACTGATATGCATAATAACTAGATGTATGCATATCAGGTCCTAGTTACTAGGTGTATAGCACAATTCAGCAATACAATTATTTTTCTTTCTCTCATTCCTTTTCTCACCAAATGCAATCTTTCCATTATTGTAACATATTTGCAATCGTAACTTGTATATATACACATCCATAGCACAATTCAACAAAACAAATATTTTTCATTCTCATTTCTTTTCTCACCTATCTTTCCATTATTGTAACATATTCGCAATCGTGTTAATCATGCTCTATTGATCATAGGATATGTGTAATCAAAAATTCTATAAGCCATAACTTTTTTTATATATAAGCCATGGTTTGTATATATATGAAGTTAATACACACAGATAAAAAAAAACAATTGTTTATTTATTTAGTTAGTTAATTTGATGATTTCAGATAGCCTTTGTCAAACAGGATATGATATTAAAACTTTGGAACATTATATTGTCCGTGATAAGACACAATAAGGGTCCACATTTACTTATATAAAAGAGTACGTGAATGATGAGTTTATATATAATACTAAATATGTGTCTCACAAAAACAAATAAAAAATTGATATTTATTATTTATAGTAAAAATAAAAAACTAAATTTAATAATAATAAAAAAAAAATTTTTTTTAATATTTAATAAAAGTTTATATTAAATACACCCTCTTACAATTATTACATTCTTGAAAGTATCTGATATTCTTATAATAAATTATAAAAGAATATTTTTCATCTATATATTTTTATTAAAATTTTAGATTCTTTTTTTCTTAAATTAGTAATCATCCACAGTTTAAACAATATTTTGCACCTCCATATTAGATTCTCCCAAAAATGTTTGAAGTTGTTGTTATGATTGTGGTTTTTAAGTAGAATAAAATTGGCCCACAATTCACATATAAAATTAGCGGCTGACTAGACTTAAATAGTAAATCTATGAATTTGGCTAAAAAGCAATTCACCCTACACTAGACACCTAATTTGTTTCCAATCATGTGCTACGATATAAAATTCCAGGCTGAAAATAGCTCAATTTTACTTTCTTTGTCTAGACTCATTATTTTCATTATATAGGTGACCTATCAATTCTCAAAGACAATTCAAGCCTTGTATCTTATTGCCAGTATAAGGACAAACTTCACTTCCAATTTTTTGTTTTCTGAGGGCACCACATTTAGCTGTCTATTGTGCAAATAATAAAGTCCGGTCGATTCTTCATTCTTATGATCATATTTTTTATTTTCATTCTTTTCATCATAACCTTACCCCTAGAATTCTCATCTCATCGATATATCTTAGGGTTAGGGTTACTCACCCAACACTATACTAGCTATAGCTAGATATTACGGTTCTTCTTCTTCATAAGAATTGAAATATATGAAGAAATAAAGGAAACAAAATTCAGATCTATAGAATGAAAAAGAGACAGGTGGTGGTGGTGGTGAAAAGCAACAACAGTTCGTCTTCGAGAAATGTTGTACGTTATGGAGAGTGCCAGAAGAATCATGCTGCTTCGAGTGGAGGATATGCTGTTGATGGATGTATGGAGTTCATGGCGAGTTCCGGAGATGATGCGCTTATATGTGCTGCTTGTGGTTGCCATAGGAACTTTCACAAAAGAAAATTGGAAACTGCAGATTGAGATTGTTTGTTGGTATTTTAGTTAATTTCTTCTAATTTGTGTTTATTGATTTGTTAATTATATGTGTATTGATTGATTGGATTAATTAACTCATTCATGTATTTTTCTTCTTTGGGTGTGCTTGTAAGTGTTGATTACCAGAGAAACAATATTGATTTCATGTAAAAAGAAAAGTAAAATTTCTAAACTTAGTTGTATCTAAATCCGTTATTTTATTCCATAATTAATTAATTAATTAATTAGTTATTTGGTTAGTTAATTTTCTCCTTCTATTATTTGAAAATCTTGAGAATATTTGGTGCTGGATGATAGGCCAGATATAGAACAGAGAGGATACAAAAGTGATCTTAGTGAGTTTTATATTTTTGGTTTTATTATTGTTTTTTTTTTTTGGTTATAAAATTATATTTCGCTTTTTGGCTAAGCAAATTAGACTCCTTTGTTGTTTTGCTCTTCTAGACTTTGATTTTATGTCAAATAGAGTTAAACATATGTAAGAGATGAAAAAGAAATATACACAATACATGTATTTTAACTTTGTTTGTAGAAGGTGATTTTATGTCAAATAGGGTAAGACACGAAAAAGAAATATATACAAGTAGTGTTTTAACTTTCTTTATTCACGTGGAATAAAGTGAACCATAAATATACACATGCGCATGGCGTTATCAAATGACATCATGGCCCAGTTAAATTATTAAAAAAGAAATTACAACGTGTTTAACATATATATATATATATATATATATATATATATATATATATATATATATATATATATATATATATATATATATATATATATATATGTGTGTGTGTGTGTGAGAGAAATGTAAAGCTAAACGGATGGCTTTTATATATATTATGTTAAATTATATATATTTTATAATTGATTTAATGAAATGACAATAATAAATATTTGGCTTAATTCATCTTTTAGTTCTTAATTTAATTTTTTATTTAAAATAGATTACATATTAGTCCTTTAAATACGATTTTATTAATCTATTTGATCATTTCTATTAAATTTAAAAAATTAAAAAAAAACGTTAATCCTTATCTACATGACAATTTAGTTGGATTTATTTTTATCTATGTAATATTTTTACTATTATATTCTTATGTTATTCTTCTCTTTCTCTTCTCCCTTTTCAAAACCCTAGTCGTCACTTTCTTTCTCTTTTTCTGAATCATAAGAGTGCTTAACCTGATAGATCAACAAAAAACAAATACCAACCATTAGAATAATCTGCAAAATAGTCTTCAACTTGATGTTTTTGGATCTATTATTCCTGCTTCATGTAGCATTAATTTCATTCTTTTTAAATTTTTTTAGACGCATAGGCGGTGGCTTCAGGTATCAATTTCATTTATTTCAGATCTGTTTAGATGCATATATGGTGGCTGCGATGATAGCTCCAACATTGAACCTCACTCGCTCGGTAGGTCTCCCTCTCGGTGAAGTGGAAACTGTTTGCAAATCTCGTTGGGAAAATCCACACTCTGTATTGCCGATAATTTCTTTATCATTAGCAATTCAAATTAAATATATAATTAAAATTATTTTGTAACTTAACTTGTTTTGTTGAATTTTTCAACGGAATATGAATACATTGTTTTTTTTTGTTTTAATTTGTTGAATTTTTGGTAGTTGTTTTGTTGAATATGTTGTTTTGTTTTGTTTTCAGGTGGAATATGATGTTAGCCGTGTATGATTTCTGTATTGACAATTTTATTGTTGTTCATCTTTGATTCATTTCTTGAATTCAGATTTGCAGCAACTATGTATATGGCCATAGAACCTTTATTGAGAATAGCTAATGATGATAATAATTAGTGTTAAACAAGAGTTTTTCATGAGTTCTTAGATATGCACTAGTGCAGAATTGACTTTTTACATCGGGCGAAATTGACTTTTTACATCGGTTCTTAGTCCGATGTAAAACCAGGCGATGTAATAAGTCAAGACATTTTACATCGGGTTTTAGGACCGATGTAAGAAACACACCAACCACATCGGGTAAACTTTAAGACTGATGTGTAAAAAAATATATAATTGAAAAATTTAATTATAAAAGGGTGTTTTTACATCGGTTCTAAGGAAAAACCGATGTAAAAGGTGGACTTTCTAAATCAGTTTCGTGGAAAAACCAATCTAAAAAGTACTGTAGTAAAAAAAAAATTTGTGATGACACTTTTTACATCGGGTATATAATGGACCGATCTAAAAAGTCCCCATGGGACACCTTTTACAATGGTTTTGTGCTTCACCCGATGTAAAAAGTGTCAGCACAAATTTTTTTTTTTACTCTAGCACCTTTTACATCGGTTTTATTTTCAACCGATGTGAAAAATACTGTAGGAAACAAAAAAAATAGTATTGCAGGAACTTTTTACATCGGTTTTTTGTTTAAACCGATGTAAAAAGTGGTTTTTTACATCAGTTTTTGCATTCGCCCGATGTAAAAAGTACTGTTACGTTTATAAATTAATTTTCTTTTTTTAGCCGTTCCCTGTAACTTTTTTGGTACCTAATTTTTCATATTTTTCCAACATCACACAGACCATAATTAGGTCGCTATTTTCTATATTGCACATCATATAGACCACATTTAGGTCGCTATTTTCATAGTTTTTCAATATCATATAGACCATATTTAGGTCGTTATTTTCATATTTTTCTCACAAATCTAATTTCATTGCACCAAATATCTAGTATACACATAATTGATTTACAAAAGTACTGATATAGGACATACACAAATGTACTAAATTATAAGGAGGTTTGCACGATGGATCACAACAATAACAAAAAGCTTAATTAACCTTTATATAACTCAAAGAAACATTTTTCCCAACGGAGTCGCAAATCATACAAATCATCTTCTGTTAAGTTCGTTGGGTCATCAAATACCTACAACACATAAGTAACAATAAAGTTATTCTTTGAAAATTCATATTAAGTTGCAAAACGTAAAGTAAATAACCAATTAAAATCATTTATATTACCTTCATCCAAGAATTGGTTATATTGGCCGAGACAATATCCAACATATTTTTCATCACATAATACCCACAGTCATTAGAGTTAGGTTGGATCCTTGTGTACAAATGAATGACATAATTAGTGAATACTTATATGATAAAATTAAATATATAATTCTAATTTACACTACGCTTACATTGGGTTGAAGCCATGTACCTTTTTTTCTATTCCCATTTGTCGCTTGATGAACACCAAAAGCACTAATTCAGAAGAAAAAAATTCATATAAAGCCACATAACATATGATATTACTTTTGTAACAAATTATATATATATAATGAAGTGAACATAAAAGATAAACTTACCTTGTAACAATTTTCGTCATGGTTTGATTAAGTTCATGATGAAGCGAACAAAAGACGACCACCGCATTATCATTTGGACACATGACTATTAATTGCCAATGATTTCTATACGTGTGTGTAAACATAAAAGTCAAAATTTCATGTTACCAAATTTGAACTATATATGTTACCAAAATTAAAAAAATAGAAAACATAATTTCATACAAACTTACCCATGAATAAATGGTAGCAAGTGGCACTCTCTCTTTTCGTCACGTAACTTATCTTGTATGTATTGTTTGACACTTACTTGAGATTTTGGCACATTATCAACGTACAAACACATAGCAGGGTCCATAAATCCGTATATTTCAGATTGTGAAGTATCAATACACATACGATGAATATACCTAAAAATCAACATTATAATAAAAGTGATGAGAGATATAACATATTAATAGATATTGACACTAATAAAAATAGAAAATGTACTTACGTGCACCAAACTTGGAGAGTAGACACATCAAGCAAATTAAAATCCACCAGCAACTCTCTGATACACTTAGCTGACATATGAAAATTAGAAACATATGCACAATGACTTATTAACTGTGTAATTATCCCACCATATCTACTGATAAATTACATGCAATATTCAAGCTAGAGTATCAATATAATTCTACACCATGTACTCAGTGTTCTATTATTTGTTCCATGTTTCACATATCCAAATCATAGCATGGTAAATTGTTTTGCAAGCCTATAAAGTCAGGGTTGACAAATTAAACAAGATGTATAACCTGTATTAAAAGCTCTAAGCATTCTAATGAACCAGCTGCCACAGATGAAAGGAGTGGGGTAATGCCATCATCAGTTTCAGCATTAGGCTGCAAAACAACATCACCAAGATGAACGGGTAAGTATTATATTTGTAATGTTATTACAATAGTGCTATTCTTTAAAATATCTCAGAAAACTAATATTGAAAATCTCATATGAACAAAGTATTCTAATGAAAGGACATTTGTTCAACCATACCATGTAGTAAGTATACAAGTAGTACACAAAAACAAAAATGCAAACCGGTAAAGAAATGTTTTCTAGAGTGCCATATAAACAAGCTCTTAACACATTGTCTCGTTGATATGTCATGCGTCAAGCAAGAAGAATAAATTAATCAATCCTTGTAAACTATTCAAGCAAATGCATATCAACACTAACGAGGTGTATAAATAAAGCTTATGTAGGTTGCTCTTATTGTTTCAAACAATAAATTTATTGATGTGAAAGTCAGAAATGTTGTTGAAACCAAAGCATATTGGTTATTGAAATGTGGTAAATGACTATTTCTGCATTAACCACAGATCCAAAAGACAGTTAAAAAGAAAGCAATTTTAGTAAGAAGAAGCAGAAAAGAATATGATAAGTGCTAACACCAATTGATGCTCTGCATATCCAATCAAATGGATATAAAATTCCAATTACTCGGAAGAAAAAAAAATCAAACTTCTGAAGGAAAAGGAGTCGAGTGTACTTCATAGCATCATCGAAATGTAACAATAAAAAAAATGGAATTAAAATTACATTTGCACCATGTTTTAATAGAACAGTAACAACAGCTGTGTCATGATTCAAAGCTAAAAAACCAACCAACCAAAACTAAAAAACCAA